GACAGGAGGAAGGTAAAAGAAAGCAGGAAAGATCTAAGAAGCAAAGCTATAGATTGAGGTATAGACAGGTGGGCACTTTGGTAAATATATTCATAAAAATAGAGGTATTGGCCTATCTACGTATATTTTTTAATTATTTTATTGGGGGTTCTTACAACTCTTATAACAATCTATACATCAATTGTATCAAGCACATTTGTACATAAGTTGTCATCATCATTTTCAAAACATTTCTACTTGAGCCCATGGTATTAGCTCCTCATTTTTCCCCTTTCTCTCCCACCCTCCTATCTTCGTGACCCCTCGTAAATTATAAATTATTATTATTTTCATATCTTACACTGTCCACTGTCTCCCTTCATTCATCTTCTGTTGCTCGACCCCCTTGAGCACGGGGGTGGGGGTTATACATTGATCATTGCTATTGGTTCCCCTTCTCCTCTCACCTCCTCTCCCTCTTCTCCCACCTTCCTCCACCCTTATGGTATCGAAATCCCATTATTTTTCTAAGGGGTTTATCTCTCTTGGAGTCCATCTGTCATCTTTTCAAGTTTTATTGGAGAAATTAATATAGAATAAGCTATTGATAATTTAGATAACATTTTTCATGCTTTACAATTTTTAGGCCAAGTCAAAAGTTGCTAAATGACTAGGTGCAAAGCATTTCTTAAATTCTTTACATTTTTTGCATAGTCAGTCTGCCCTCTCTGTGTAAGTTTTGTTAGGATAGGCTTTGAAATGATTCTAGGAGCAAGCTTTAGTTTCATGATTTCTCAGCTTTCAGATTTGCAAAGTAACCTTGAATAAAGTTCTTTATTCATTTTGTATCATTTTCCGACTTTTTAAGACTTTCTTTGAAAGGAAATGGTGCATTTTTTTCTTGGTCATATGATGTAGGTAAATGAATATACTGGTGAGGAAGTTATTGATAATTAACAAATTAGGGACTATTTAATCAACCACCTATATGATGCTTTTGGTTATTCTATATGTCATTAAATGCTATTCTGGCTCATGAGGGAGGGGAAAAAAATGAGGACCTGATGCTGGGGGCTTAAGTGGAGAGCAAATGTTTTGAGAATGACGAGGGCAATGAATGTACAAATGTGCTTTACACAATTGATGTATGTATGGGTTGTGATGAG